CCCCCCCCCCCCCCCCCCCCCCCCTCTTCTTTTGGCGGCTGGATGTCATTATGTGATATTTCTTTTCTTCATTTATTTATTTATTTATTTTTTTTTTTTCCTTTTTACGTACATGCCTGTACACATGTACGCATACGCACATGTGTGTGTGTGTGTGTGTGTGTGTGTGTTTGGTTGGGCAGTGTCGTAGTTTCACGGTTTCCACTTTTTGACCCTGTAGAACGTTAAAGGGATAACAAAATACTTTTTCTCTGCAAGGTGAAGGAGCGGCGGGGAAAAAAGAGAAAAAAAGAGGGAGGGGAGGAATACATCTGTGGGCATACGAATAGAGTGACATCATTATCGTTTGAATGATCAAGGAGGATTCTACCAGCGGCCTCTCCTATGCCGATGTGCACCACCGTTTAGCGGAAATTGACAGGCTCAGGAAGAGTGGAGGCACAGCGGAGAGTCGGCGTCGACATATTGCGGAGGCGCATGAACGCATGTCGCAACTGCTGTTGCTTCTCCGCCAGCAGAATCAACTCAGCGAGTCACCATCGGCGCGCATCACGGAAGCGCAGGCGCTCATGCACCGTGCAGTCCTTTTTAGGGACATGGGCGCCACGTTCGAGGAGGCGATTTCGTACCACGATGCCGCCACATTGTGGTTCTGCGTCGAGCGCGAGCGTCGGCAGCTGAACTTTCCCACAAGCGACGACGCTCTGGCGAACGGTGTGTTGTGTGGGGCCATGTCGGCGGCTGTGTTGCTGCGGGATGCCTCGGAATCGCGGGGCTCGCCGATGCCGCGGCACGATGCGGCGCTCGTTGCGAGTGCCTCCGACAGCAGTCGCAAGAGCCACAGTGGCATCCATGCTGGCCAAGGGAGCGGCGTCGGCGGATGTCCTCAGGAAACGCGAGAAGGTGACGTGCCGCTCGGAGAAGAAACGTCACAGATGTCGTATCCCAACCTGTTGCGTGCGTGGAGGGAATTGATGCGCGTTGGCACGGTTCTGGAGGAATTTCAGTGTCTGGAGTTGGCTGCGAATTACTACGAACTTGCCGCGGTGATACTCGTGAAGGGGAAGGGGCGTGAAATCCTGCAGCCACCACACCCCTCCAACTCCTTTGCTGCTGCTGCTGCTGGTGGTGGTGATGGCAGGGCGGGGGATGATGGCAACAGCAGCAGCATCAATAACAATGCGTCAAGAAGATCGTCTGTGTCATCGTCCGGTAAACATGCGGCCACTTCAAAATCGATTGCGCAGGTTCTTTGGGGGCACGTGGAGGGAGCGTTGTACCATATGAAGGAGGGCAAACAGCAACAACAACAACAACAACAACAACAACAGTCTACAGCGGCTTCTGCTGCTGGAGAAGTGCTAGACGCCTGTGGACTCGGCATGGATTCGGCACCGCTGGAGGTGTACTCGCGGACCCACATGTATGAGGTTATTTTGGCCCTTCACCGTGCATCCATGGTAAGTGCCGTCACACAGGATTACCCGCGGGCCATGTTGTATGCCGACACGTTGATGCAGACACTAACCGTGGAGGCGGAGCAGCAACGACGGTTTAAGGATGACCCACCGCTCTTTCCGCATTCATTCATTCATGCATGCAATGCGGAAGAGTGGCATGCGAAGGAAGGGGAAGACAATACACGAGGAGGAAATTCAAGACCCACTCTGAAAAGCAAAGGAGATGAAAAGGACGAAAAGGAATGCGGGACCACCGATCCTGCGCCAGAGGACCGTAATGCCAGTTTGGGTAGCCACTCGACACTGACTCATATGGCGCATCCTCAAACGACATTAGAGGCCTTTTCTTTTGTCGCCACGCATCTCTCACGGTGGGTTCAGCTTATTGTGCTAAAGGTTTACATGCTTCTTATTCATGACGACAGCGGGGCGGAACACGTGACACGGACGTCCCACCGTAGCAATCCCAAAGACAATGATGCCTGTGGAAAGAATAATATCCGGTCATTCAGTGTGTGTAGCGGTACTGCCAGAGAGGAGAAGGATGATGTTGGCGAGGCTGCGATGATGGCGATTAGTACGTTATTTGACCTGGCGGGTGAGGTGCGGCGTGTGGAACGTGATTTGATACGTTACAGTGAGGCTGCACACAGAGCGAGCATGGATACAATAAAAATTGCTAATGCCTATGAGAATGGATATTTCCACTCGCCCTCACTGTCGTTCTCGCACTGCCGTGTGGCCACGAGGACGGAGTTCTCCTGCCCCCTCGCCCCGTATTGTTCCCGTGACACCCATCATCATGCGGGGGAGGGAGAAGAAAAAAAACGGGAGCAGCAGCAGGATGGCAGTAAATTTGCTTCTTGTACGAAAACGGAGGACGTCTTGGGAAATGATGACGGCGACAGAAAAAAGAAACTGGCGGCGAAGGCGTTGGCCCAGCGATTGCTGCAGAGCGACGCCCTCAGGAAACTCCGCGTTGCTGCGGCATCATCAAAATTGAGTGATTATATGCGGAAACAACAACAACAACAACAAACGACGGTGACTGGCAGGAATGAAGAAGCGAGCATGATTTCTAATGTCGATTCAAAGGACGAACAAAATTCAGAGAAGAAGGTACTCCGTGATAACGGTGAGGATGAAAGCGACTTTGAGGATGTACGGCTTAGACGACTTGCGGCATCCCTGCATGTTGTGTACACCTGCGCACGAAATTTTCATTCTTCGGAAGAGGACGCTTTATCTGCCCGTACCGCATTGCGTGAAGCCGTTGCAATTGTTGACGAGCATCTTGCGGCGTTGGGCATGTCCTCGCGTACCCTGACAATTATGGGCCAGCGTTTGCTGCGGGAGGTGTTTTACCCTAAATCTGCAACGATGATTGGCGGACTGCTTAATGAATAACAATATCGCATTATAAATAAATATATTTATATTTATATTTATATACATGTGTTTGTGTGTGTGTGTGTGTGTTTGTGTGTATACATATTTAAACGGGAGAGGGAAGGGGAGAAAAGAATGGAGTGTACGCGTGTAACCGTTTTTTGCCCTCATTATCACTTCTATCTCTCGATCTTATTCACTTCTTTGTTGAAACTCCTTCCCCTACCTTATTGCAATAGTATTATTGGGAGATAAGGCGTCTGTCTACAAAGGAAGACAAAACTTTGAGTTGCTGGTAATATAACAAGCAAAGAAGTCCCTTTGTTTCTTTATATTATATTATATATATATATATATAATATACAGATAGATTGTGGTGGCCTTGCAGGGAGTGGGGGAAGAGGGAAAAATTTTTTTCTTTATTTGTGTCCCCCCCACTCTGCTGCCAATAACTGAAGTTTGCATCGGGAAACGCAGGAAAGGGAAGGAATCCGGGAGCGTAGGAGGAACAAAAGGGGAGGAGAAGAGAAACAGAAGCAGAAAAAAAATTGGGTGATCAAAAGTCACGGCGCTTCGATGACGCACAAACCAGAAACGATCGGAACCCCAGTGTTTTCAACGACGCCATCATTGACAATAAATACGGGTAACAATGCCTCCTCTGCTACGAATACCTGCAATGTTTTGTCGCAACGTGTGGCTTGCACTCATGGCGTTGACTTGCCTCCATCGACAGCATGGCAGAGATGGCACCATAGTAGCGAGGCGAGTTTACAGCATGTGCGAGAGGATGCGTCCAGGCATGGCAACGGTAGCGACAATGATAGTCACGACGGCAAGAGCGGGGGGAGCTGTTTGCCGGGCCTTTGTGAATGTCAATCCGTGGCGTATCAACAGGAAACGGAAGCGACAGCACCTGAAGCGTCTCCTCACATCGCTCCCCTGGTGTTGGTCGATCAACAACAACATGAGGGCGGGATGGAACGGGAAAATGTACGGCGCGTGTTGGGTAGACCGGACTGTTCTGAGGTGGGGTTAGCACCACAGCCGCCTATTGCTGTCAGCAAAGTCTCGACGCCTCGTTCCTTTGCATTTCTGCAATTTGTTGTGGATGGGAAGCCCTATTCAATGCCCCCAGTGTATTCCCCCAGGAGTTATAAGTCGGAAGTTGTCTCCATGATTCATGCGGAAGCAGAAGCATCCCGTGAATATCGCACTGTCGGAAATTCCGTGCTTGTCACTGCAGGGTACTCGGGCGTTCATCCCGAGACCATATCCTACAGCGGCCAACCTCATGAACCAGGAGAGTTTTTGCCATTGCCAAAGGAATCCATGGGCAAGACCAGTTTCAAATGTACCCCACGACATTGGCGGGCAAACCCCCATCCATCGGAAGAGGCGAAGGGTGATGTAGGCGAAAACTTAACGCCGGAGTGCGCTGCCTGTAAAACGTCGTTTTTATCCCCACTGTCCTCAGTCGCAGCGTTCCCGCAAGGTGAAGGTGCCTGTGACAAGCTTCTGGCTAGCCGTACCTCTCCCCGATGTGTGAAGATGCATGGCAAGGGTGGCGGTAAGGAAGATACGGCAGAGATGGAAGAGAAAATGGAAAAAGGTGTTTTCATGACAACATCCCTTTTGCCTGGTACTTCCAGTGATTTCTTTTGTCGCGGCAAACAACCACCTGACAAGGGGGTTGAGTATGGCGAACGGATTCTTCAAAGTTGTGAGGAAGCAATCGATACCACTACACAGAAGCTGTCTTCTCAGCCCCAGAAGGAAACAATTGACTCTGGACGAAATCCCTTGGAGAAAACATGGGTTACCTCGACTAATGAGATGGATACGGGTAATTCACAGTGCTTAGTAGATCATAGTGTAGATTCTTCCATGAACATGCTTTTTCACTTTTCGGTGTCCTCAATGGGGGCGATGAGGCTCGCAACATACTCCATGGGAGCCTCACAAGGCGTAGTAGTAGGAGGTGGAGGAGGTGGTGGTGGTGGTGTAGGTGGTGGTGGTGGACATCATGTATGTTCATTCCACGCGCAATCGAAATCGTGTGTTCTTTCCGAGGAGAAGCCTTGCTGTTGTCTAACTGGAAAAAACGTGAGCCTTAACGGGCTTTACATGCGAACCACCCACGCCAACAACAACATGGAGGGGTCGGTTCATGAGGAAGAGCCCGCGGCGGCTGTGACGGCTGCGGCTCCAGCCAACACATCCCCCAGCCTGACACTGGATGCCTCCATGGACGCTTTGTTTCAGGTTTTAGACGTTCCACCGGAGTTGCGTCTGCAGCCGGAGGGTTTGATGGATGTGGCAAGGTTCTCGTTACCATTGCCGGTGACCCCTCCAGTTGCGACCGGCCCGCTGAGCTTCACTGTTCGCTCAGATATATTTCCAGCTATCCCGGCACGCGATGCCACCCGAAACGAGGATGACCCTTTAAACATGACCAGCAACAATGAGGAGGGAACCTCTATTTGTGGTAGCGGCGCCAACTTTCGGCCGCTGTGGTTCAGTCCTCCCCACCGCCTTATGGAGCGCATGGGCAATGGGGCGACTGGTGTGAATTCCGTCTCTGGTGACGACCCGTCTTCAGCGCTGTGCCTTCACAGTCCCTCCGTGCTATTCACGGAGCGGAGGTGTGGTCAACGTGGTAGAGGTGTCAGCCACTGGTCCCCACGTCTGCCAGAGTGGTGTGCCCGGCATCCTCACAATGAACAGGAAAGGCACGAGGTCTCAGATTCTTTAAAATCTCCAATGAAAACAGATGTCATGGCGCGTTCGAACGGGACGGTGGAAATTCTTCTGCGCAGTAGTCGCTATGCGCCAGGTGGCAGCGGTACTTTGGCGAGCAACAACTCCTTAAGGAGGCAGGCGGCGTATCCTCATTCCGGAGACGGTGGTACCTTTCAACTACCCACCTTTAGGAGCTTCTCTTATGAATAGTGAGGCTGTGAGTTTCTTGTGGGTACAGTCACCCTTTTTTTCCACAATTAAGTGGATTCATGCAGATCCTCTCTTCCCTCCTGTGCCCGTAAGAAACTGAAGCCATGACTTTAAAAAAAAAAAAAAAAATGAGAAAAAAGAAAAAGAAAAAAAAAAAGAAGAGAAAAAGAAAAGAGAAAAAAAAAAAACTGTCCGCAGAAAGGGATTTCCTTACTGTACCTCCCTGCTTGATATTTGCCATCTGTCCTTAGAGTGATGCTTGAATTTTTTTGTGTTTCCTTTTTTTGTTACGTTTTTCCTTTCATATTATGTGATGTTTTTGTTGTTGTTTTTGTTGTTTTGTTTTGTTTTTTGTTTTGTTTTATCTCCCTTTTTTTTTTTGTTGTTTGTTTGTTTGTATGGAGAGAGAGAGAGAAAGAGAGAGACTGTGGGTGGGTGGGTGGGGATGATAATGATGGTGCGTGGGGAGCCTTGAACACTGCTGCAGGGTTATTTTTGGAGTGTTTCATTTATATACATGTATATTAAGGATGTGGAGAAGGGTGCAGATACCGGGAGAATATTGATTCTTTATTGATTCTCGGCAATGACAGAGTATCGTGCCACCGCAACTTCCTCTCCAAAGGGGGAGGGGGTCGGACGTGCTCGGCGATAAAAGCCGGCGTGCGGCCCATTTGCATTTATTTGATAAGGCACAAAAAGAAGAAAAAAGAGAAAAAAAAAAAAAGAAGGGGAGAAAAATTAGTAAAGTAATTCACTTGTTGTACTTAGATACAAAAGTATAAATATGTGCTTATTCATTTGTATGTATATATGTATATATGCATGTATATACCTGTATGCATGTATATGGCTGTATGCATGTATATGGCTGTATGCATGTATATGGCTGTATGTATGTATATACCTGTATGCATGTATATGGCTGTATGCATGTATATGGCTGTATGTATGTATATGGCTGTATGCATGTATATGGCTGTATGCATGTATATGGCTGTATGTATGTATATACCTGTATGCATGTATATGGCTGTATGCATGTATATGGCTGTATGTATGTATATGGCTGTATGCATGTATATGGCTGTATGCATGTATATGGCTGTATGCATGTATATGGCTGTATGTATGTATATGGCTGTATGTATGTATATGGCTGTATGTATGTATATGGCTGTATGCATGTATATGGCTGTATGTATGTATATGGCTGTATGCATGTATATGGCTGTATGTATGTATATACCTGTATGCATGTATATGGCTGTATGCATGTATATGGCTGTATGTATGTATATGGCTGTATGCATGTATATGGCTGTATGCATGTATATGGCTGTATGCATGTATATGGCTGTATGTATGTATATGGCTGTATGTATGTATATGGCTGTATGCATGTATATGGCTGTATGCATGTATATGGCTGTATGCATGTATATGGCTGTATGTATGTATATGGCTGTATGCATGTATATGGCTGTATGTATGTATATGGCTGTATGTATGTATATGGCTGTATGCATGTATATGGCTGTATGCATGTATATGGCTGTATGTATGTATATGGCTGTATGCATGTATATGGCTGTATGCTGTGTATATGGCTGTATGCTGTGTGTATGTGACCTTCTGTTTTACTTTTTGTTTTCTTTTTCTTTCTTTTTTTCTCTCTCTCTCTCTCTTTTTGTTCGTCACGTAGTCGCAGCAGTATTTTTATTATTTTTCTTTTTTATTTTTTTTCCCCATAGTTTGAGAAGACACCTTTTGGAACGGACAAACAAATATACAAATACAGACGAAAAGAAAAAAAAAAAAAAGATATTCCTTTTTGTTTGTTTGTTTGTTTTTTCTCTTTTGTTTTCCCCCTTTTTGCCTGCGGAATAAATAAATAAATAAAAATTCTTTTTTCCCCCATTTGTGTATTAAAGCGAGAAAAGGGGAGCTGGGAGGGGGAGGGGGAGAAAAATATATATTTTTTATTTATTTATTTATTTATTTATTTATATTCATAGAGAGAAATAAAAGAGAAGAAAAAAAAACAAACGAAAGGGGGGACACGTGTACCCTCTTTTCTCTTCTTTTTTGTTCTCTTTTTTGTTCTCTCTTTTGTTCTCTTTTTTTTTTTTTTTTTTTCCTTTAAGCCTTTGGATTTTGATTGGCTTCATTCTGGGCGACGATAGAAGAAGAACGCAGGTGTGGGGAGAAGGGGCGATGAATAACAACCAGGCGGCACGTTACGGTGCCGGGATTCTGCCGGGAGTGCACATGACATACCCCGCGTCGGCGGCGGCTGCAGCTGGGGCGCCCAATCCGTACCAAAGCATGCGAGGGGCGTACCCGGTCGCCACAACGGCATTTGTGACCCAACAGCAACAAATGATAGCCCAACAACAACAACAACAACAACAACAACATCAGCCGTATCCAACAGCAGCAGCAGCGGCGGCGGCAGCCGTTCACCATACTCAACCGCAGGCACAAAGTACACAACAACAACAGCAGCAGCAGCAGCAGCAACAGCAACATCATCACCACCAACAGCAACAACAGCGGGGGCGTGTGGCGGTGGAGGGGCCGTATGGTCTTTTAGCCCTTCCAGGACTCATCCAGCACTCTGTCAACGCGGAGAATCCAGAGAGCGCGGCATTTCTGTACCTGACACGTGGCTTTGATCTTAACTCGCTTGGAATCAACGTGGCGCAGCAGCGTCCTCTGCACCCAACGCTGGCGAGTTTAGCGCTGGAACGGCCTGAGGTGCCTGTTGTTCCCGAGTACCGTATCCCCGACTGCTACAGGCAGGCAAAGCCGCGTCAACCCACGCTGAAACTGTTGCAAAAGTACACGGATGAGACGCTGCTTTACATTTTCTACTCCATGCCACGAGACCTTTTGCAATTAGCCGCGGCGCGGGTGCTGTTGGAGCGGGGTTGGTGGTTCCACAAGGTGCGGCAGCAGTGGATGCGGCGACGCACAGCCGGTGGTTATGAATTTTTTAATCAAAACAAATGGAAGATGGAGAGCGAAGAGAATTATCAGCCAAACCTCGCTGAGGTCGAGAAGGACCTCTCAGACCCGGCCCATGCGGGCCCTAGCGCGGTGATTGCTGGCAGCAGCAGCAGCAGCAGCGGCAATGCGGGCGGTGGTGGTGGTGGCGGTGGTAGCACCGCTGGAACGGCCACTGACACGTCGCCTGTCACGCCCTCGACGACGGCAGCAGCAGCAGCAGCAGCAGCCGGTGTCACGGGGTCGTAAGGTGCGTACGTGTACGTGTCTGTGAATAGGGCGAACGTTCGTGGAGGAGAATAACAGAAACAACAACAACAACAAAAAAAAAAAAAAAGGAAAGGAATAGGAAGGAAAGGAGGACACTTCTAGGCAGTGGGCTTCGCTGCAATGACTGCACCGCTTCTCACTCTCTCGTTTTGGATTCGGCGTACGGTGGCGATAATTGCGGTGTTGCCGCATCGGATGAAGAACCCTCTTAGAAGGGGGAAAAAAAAAAAGTAACAGAAGACAAAACACACGCACGCGACAACACACACAACAGAAAAAAAAAAAAAAAAGGAAGAAGAAAGAAAAAGAGAGAGAAGCGTAACAAGAAAGGAGGGGAAAAAAAAAAAAAAGATAGAGAGAGAGAGAGAGAAGGAATAATAATAATAATAATAATAAAAGAAAAGACCAAAAACAAAAATTGCGGGGAGAGGAGTCCTCATTTGTATGTTTGATGCCACATCCGAGTGTTTTTATTTTCCTCCGTTTGCCACTTTTTCTTTTCTTTGCCGCCTTTCCCTTCTTTTTAATGCCGTCCACTGAAATTCTCCGCCACTGTTCATTTTGTCGTGTCTGTTTTTGTTTGCTTGTTTTGTTTGGTGTTTCTGCTGGATAAGAAGGAGGAAGGGAATTGTCATACACAAATAAACACAGAGAAAAAGGAGGGAAGGAGGGTTGTTGTTTTTATTATTATTATTATTATTGCCATTGGCTTCCATTCCTTTTCTTTTTTATTTTTTTTTTTTTTTTTTTCCAAAGGGTCCTCCAGTGTTTACTTTCGGTCCGTTCCTGAAGAGAACAAAGTAGAGTTGTGCAATAACTCGGTGGGGTGGCGAGAGAAAGAGAAGCGAACACAAAAACACTCCAATAAAAATAAAAATATATATTAATATAAGAGGGAGAAGAAGACGCAGAGGAGGATTAGGGGGGAAGGGGGAGGGGGGGAACATCGCTACGGAAAATGGTGCTTAGTTTGATTGGGCCACTTGACGATCCGCATGTACACCGTGTGCTTCTTGTCGCGGCGTATGCCGGCACGAGGCTGAAGGTGGTCCCTGTCACAATTGGTAAGGAGAATGAGACGGAAAGTTACCGCCGTAATTGTCATCCACTTGGCCGTGTGCCGGTGCTGAAGTCCGACGAGGGATATCTCTTCGAGACAAACGCCATCATACGCTACCTTGCACGCACGGAGCGCCTGTACGGGTTGGACGGCAGCGAGCGCCACCCCTCACCACAGCATTTAGTGCCGTACATTCTTTACGGGAAGAGCGTACAGGAGGCGGCGGAGGTGGATGCGTGGCTGGACTTTGTTGTGACGGAACTCGACCCGCACATCCTGCCACTTATTGCGATGGAAAAGGAAGAGAAGACGCCGAAGAGAAACCCGAGAGGAGAAGACGCAGGCGCTAAGGCACTGCCGCTGCAGCCGAGGGTGGATGCCCTGCATGAGGGACTGAACGGCCTCGAGCAGCGGCTTGTTTTCAAGAAGCAGCTACGGAAACTCCAGGCGACGGGTGGTGGAAGCGGCAACAACCCCGTCAGTGCTCGCACAGGAACCATGGAAGAGGTGGATGAGGGGCTTTCGGAGGAGGAGTACTGGCTTGGGGTAACGCCGCGGGGAAGCTCCGTGCTGCGTGGGTACCACACATACAACATTAAAACCCAGCTGGAAGACCCCAATCAAATCAACAGCGCGAGAGAAATCGCATCAAATAACGAGGGCACCGCTCATGAGGGTGGCGGTGTGCCGTATTTGTCGGCTCATTTTGTATTGTCATCACCACGGCCATCGACGCAAGCGTCACGCTTCTCTATGCATACGCCACGACGGAGCGCCCCTGCAGCCAGCGACATGCTTTTTCTTGTTGGCGACTCTCTGACTGCGGCGGATCTTGTTGTGTCGCTCGCTATAAACCAGGCCTTATTGCTGAAGCAATTGTGTACAACACTGAAACAACGGTATCCGCAGGTCGTTCGCTACCATTGCGGTATTCTGCGACTGCCTGTTGCAGCGCAGTTACGAAAGGCTCTGGGAATAAATATTTTGTAGAAGACCTGCAGTCTTGCCGTTGTGTTGGCACCATTGTTATATTTGGAGAGTGACAACCGTGAAGAGACTCGCAAAAAAAAAAAACCTTTAGAAAGAGAGAGAGAAATGAGGGAAGAGAAGGGAGCACAAACATATATATATTATATATATATAAGCAACACCCATGTGCATTTTACTTTATCTTTTTTTTTTTTCTCTCCCACTTATCCTTTTATGTTTACGGTCGCCGCCTGGCTCCAGGGGTGCATTGTGACCTGTTTATTTTCTTCCCTGACGAAGAGTATCCAGAGATTGTACAAAAGAGTGTGCGCAATGCACACAAACGCCTATAAATGAATAAAGATATATGTATTTGTCTGTGTTGTTTGTTGTTGTTTTGTTGATGGTGCCGCCACGGGTTTGTTTTTTTTTTTTTTATGTGTGTGTTGCCGCTGCCTTGGATGGTGTAAATATGAGTAGTGCGTACTTGCATGAGTAGGGCAGTTTGTGTTTCTTTTTGGATGTGTTCTTCTCCCTTTTCCTTTTTTTTCTTTTTTCCCTGTGGATTCCCCTTTTTCCGCTTTTCTCTAGCGTGGATGACGGCAGAGAACGTCGTGCGCACGGCCACTGCGGTTGCCTCGCTGTGTGACGCTCGTGCCGTTGACGCGCAGCTTCTTTACAACAGCTGCGAGGCCGCCGCCGCCAATCTTCTGCGGCGGAGTCGTCGTTACGTCACGGCCACCCGTGTGAGCTCGTTGGCTGTGGCCGCATCGATTGGAGGTGCAGGGCTTATCGCGTCCTGGCACTACCGCCGCATCTACCGTGTCTGGCGACTGCGGTACCCGGCGCGTGTGGCGCAGCAACGGCGAGTCATGTGGTTTCTTGCGGCGTCCGGGTTGGCGTTGCTGCTTTTTGTGCTCAGCCCCGTGGGATTCATGGCGCAGCACGAGGCGAGACTTCATGACGTGCAGCGACTTGACGCCATCGCGGTGCGGGCTTTGATGCTGAAAAGACGGTACGAGTCACTTGTACGCATGGCACCGACGTCGTCAGAGGAAGCGGCAAAAAGGGCCGGTGCGTATAACCGCTGTGAGGAGGACTGGGCGGAACTTATGAGGGAACGTGTGGCGATTGATGAAAATGTGTAGCCGCCTTCAACGACCGGGACGTACAGAAAAAAAAGGAATGGGAAAGAGAAAGGCTTAGACGAATGCCCATTTGTCTATTGGATTTTATTCCTCCCTTAATTTGCCTGCATGTCATGCACAATTCCTGCATTTCTCCCACCCCACGTTTTCTCTCCATTTATTGCGCATTTGTGTCTCACCGTCTGGGCCGCAGGAGGAAATAAAAAAATAAAAAAATAAAATAAAAAAAATAAAGAGGAAAAAAGACAAAACAAAGGAAAATAAAAATAAAAAAATTAGACATTGCTTTTTTTTTTTTTTTTTTTTTTTTTTTTACTCACATCCCAATCACTGAGTGAGTGAGTGAGTGAGGGGATTTTTCAAATACACGCACGGGAAGGGACACGAAAAGTCTACACGCCGGCGCGCGAATCATTATTAGACGCAGCAGGAAAAAGGGGAGAAAAAGAGAGAGAGAGAAGAGAAGTGAGGGGAAACGAAGGAAACAGGAAGAAAGAAAAAAAAAAAAAAAAAGGGAGGGTCATTCTTTGAGTTGAGCGTTGCAAAGATACACCAGAAGGAGAAGAACAAATAAAAATAGGGGAAAAAAGAAGGAGGAGGGATAGAGCTCTACAGATTCTCATATACGTAAATAAAAATATGAACGTGCATATGGACGCAGACAGCCACATTACGTGGAATTTATCCTCCCTTCTTGCTGAGGTTGCTGCGGTGAAGGCGGCAAAGGAGGGTGGTGCTGGCGACACGCAGGATACCGGGGAGGGGGATGTTGTCAAGAGCGAGATTGCCACCAATGCCGCTGTTAAGGGTGACTGTGGTGGTGCCAGTGCGTGGGGACTGATGTGTGGGGAGCGGAAGAGAATGGGCGGCTGTAACGGGAATTTGCCCCACAGGACGCCGTTGATACCGGCATCATTTTGTTCATTGGCGGCAGATGTGAATGGCGGTGTCACCGATGATGCTCCGCCGATGTTCTTTGACTCCCAGAAACGCCCGGAGGCCACGGCGGGTGGGTGGGCGAGTGCGGCAACAACCGCGAATTCCTCGTGCGGGTACCACGCCGGCAAGTTGGGTACATCGCCGGAGAATATGTTGAAGACGCCGTCCACGTCGCCCTTTTCTGTCGTGGCGGGGCTCACACCCTCGGCATATGGCGCCAGCGCGAGGAAGCCGAGCACCCTGCCCACCACCACCACTACTACTAATACTGCCGCAACTGTGGGCACGGCGACCGCAACGACAAGCGCAACCTCCACCCCGTTTTGGATGATACCGAATGCCTCTTCCGCCGCCAATGGTGTCAGCCTCGCCATCTCAAATATTAACAACGGCAACACTCATCACAATAACAATACTAATCATGTGTGCGGCCGTCACGGTGGAAATGACCCTTTGAGCAGCCTGAACCTGTTGCTCAACCTGTCTCCTGTGAACACGCCGACCAATTCAGCAGGGGCGGCGGCCGGAACGTTGCGCTCGCCACGGCCAAACAGCGTGATTTTGAGCGGTGGCCCGTACACACTGCAGCAGTCTGAACAACAAAAAAAGCGGACTTCCCAGCAGCAGCAGCAGCAGCAGCAGAAGCAAAATCAACATCAACAGCAGTATACGGAAATGCGTCATTCTGTCTCAGAGCCATTTCGAGGTGCGTTGATGGACCCCCAACCAATGGTGAGGCATGCGACGGCGTATCAACTCCCTTTAAAAGGCCCTGATAATCCCATGGGAGCCGCCACCATCATCACCAATTCTTCGACCATCAACAACAACAGCAAGAATAATATCATTAACAGCAATATGAGCAATGCCAAAAACGGTCTGAAAGGGTCTAACTACCCATGGGTGTTTCCCGATGATGGGTGGAGCACTATGAGGTCATCGTCTACTTCATCGCCACTTAGAGAATTGGCTAGTTTTTTGGGACCCAAAATTTGCGCCGCGCCAAGCACGCGTCACCTGCACCACGGGCATCACCAGCAGCGAGTGAAAATTCGGGTTCCTCTTGTACCCAGTTGTTCTGGGGAAAGCAACCGTGCAACATTGGCTTCGTCGGAGCGAAAACACACCGCTTTGGCTGAGGGGTCAGCAGAACTTCATCGTGACGCCTTGTTTCCACCAGTGCCAGTTGAAAGGCCTCAATACCGCGGCCATGTGGTGGAGATGGCCTCTGATCAACATGGATGCCGTGAGCTGCAGTCGGTCCTGGAGCGTTACCCATACCGTTCGCAAGAGGTACAGTGCGTTGTAAATGAATTGCTTCCTTGTCTGCCACAGGTGATGGCAAGCCCGTACGGGAACTTCCTTGTCCAGAAACTGCTGGAGATTGCACCAGATGAGGATAGGCTGCATATGCTTTCTCAGCATCTGTCTGGATCGCTTTGTGAGGTTGCTGTTTCTCCGCATGGTAACTATGCGGTTCAGAAGTTGATTGATTCGTTACGATCGCGGCGGGAGGTGGAGGTGGTATGTGCGGCGCTGCAGCGAGGAGTATTGATGCTGATGAATGATCTCAACGGAGGACACGTGGTGCAAAAGTTGCTTCAGTGCCTGCCTCAGGATGTTGCCTTTGTGTACGATGCCATTGTGGAGAAGACTATTGATTTATGCAATGACAAACAGGGCTGTTGTGTGGTTCAGAAATGCATGGACTCTGCCCCACCAGAGCGGCTGCCGCAACTACAGGAGGCGGTGCTGAAGCATTTTTTGCCTCTTTCTATGAGTCCTTATGGCAACTACGTGGTGGCGCATCTCATTCGTAACTGTGACGCCATGAATCAACGTCACGTGGTGGATCGCGCCGCCGTCTGCGTGGGCCCTGCGTTGAAGATGCTCTGTACCAACAAGTTTGCTTCCAACGTGGTGGAGATCATTCTGAGTTTATGCAGCGAGGAGGTCAAGGTGCAGCTGTGCCGCTCCCTCCTTCAGGGGTCGAATGAGAAGACAGTGTTTTTGTTTCAAAACAAAATCCTGGGGAATTCTCAGGATGTCACTTTTTCCTCCCCATCCTCGTCGTCATTACCGCAGCACATGCTGCACCACGACACCTCGACGCTCTCCGCTATCGCGCTTAACCAATTTGGCAACTACGTGGTGCAAAAGATGCTCTCCGTCCTTCCCGTCTGCACGGAACTCATACAATTGGTTCACCACCTGCACCGGATGCTCCCGCTTCTGCTTGACATGAATTTTGGCAAACGCGTGGAGACAAAGATGGATCAGGCTACGGCCCGCATTGTGCAGCATTACCAGCAGAAAGGAATTGCCACAGGTGACATGAATAATTGCAACACGGCGGTTGGACAGACAGAAGTGATGCGGATGTTCCAACTGAGTACGCATACAACGGACATCGCAGCAATGCGGCAGCCGCACCAGAAAAAATCGGTAGCGCAGGCAGCAACGGCAGTGGCGTTAAATGCGAAAACAAAGATGCCGTCAGTTTCACAATGCATTGAGAAGAACACTGTGGGGGATAACTTCAACTTCCCCCATGCTCTCTTTGCCGCGCCACTAACGCCACAAGGGTCACCGCATCAGCAGCAGCAGCAGCAGCAACAGCAACAGGGTGCCCGGTAAAGAAACCGTCGGGACACGAGGGCAAGCGACACATGGGATCGGAAGCTCCTTTGAGGGGTGAGAAGGAGGAAGTGTGTGTAATGGAAAGGAGGGAGCATGTAGCGATGACGAAACGTGTACAAGAGAAACGACGTGGGACCCTTTTTTTTTTTTTTTTAGACTGTGAAGCGAAGATATGAATTCACGCCAATGAAATGTGGATGTGCTTCCTTCAATATATATATATATATATATATTTATATATTTATTTTACCATCCCTCTCTTTTCCCACACGCACGCGAATACACACTTGACACCGACGCAAATAAAGAGGCCTGCATGTAAAACTAAAATGCAGTTTTATGCCGAATATTTATGGATTCTCCCCTCCTCCTTCTCTTTTTTTTTTTTTTTTTTTTTTTGTATGTGTTGTTTTTTTCTTCCTTTTTTACGAATTTGTTGTTGTTGTTTTGTGTGTTTTTGTTTTCTTTCCTTTTTTTTTTTTTATTGTGATTTCTCGTCAAAGCTGAAGATGTAAAGGCCGTGGCACACACTTTTTTTTTTTCTTTTTTCCTTGTGCTGCGTGTGTGTGTGTTTGTGTGTGTTTGCTAATTTCACTGTAATGTTACTGTTGATGTTTATTTTTTTTTTTTTTTTTTTTTTTTCTTTGCGTGGGACGGGGCGGCGGGTGGTTACGACATGACATCGACAGGAAGTGGGCACATGGAGAAACATGCATGCATGCATGCATTGGTGCACAGACACACAGGGAGGAGAAGAAGCGAGAGAGTGAGAGGCACATGTCTATTCATGTTCATATCTATATTTAATTCCTTGCAGGGGTGGGGGGGATGGGAAGAAATAAATAGAAATCGAAAGAAAAAAAAAAAAAAAGAGAGAGAGAGAAAGGGAGGGAGAGGGAGAGGGAGATCGTATGGGATTTTTGTTTGGTGTTATTTGGTGGTGGTGGTGGTTAACACGAATGGGCGGGGGGTAAAGAAGGAATGAAGGGAAGGGAAGCTTAGGGAGTGAGTGAGTGGGTGAGTGAGTCTGTGATTTGTTTGTTTGTTTGTTTTTCCTTTTTTTTTTTTTCTTTTTTTTTCCCCTCTCCCCCTCTCCACCACTACGAACCGCATTCGTTGCTGCATTACAGTAGATACACGTATATATATATATATATATACATATACACATGTGTGTTGTGTGTTTGTTCAACACACACATACTACTTCTTTATACATGTGTCTTCTGTATATTTATTTCCCCCTCTCCCTCTCCCTCTCACTCTCACTCTCACTATCTTTATTTCCGTGTGTGTTTTTTGTTGTTAATATGTGGACTGCGATGTGTTGTATGAAAAAAGTGGGGTGGAGGCTCACACCACCACCACCACCACCACCCGCATCACTGCTCCTTGCATGGTGCCGGGGATGTTTATTTTATTGTTTACAAAAGCGAGACAACATGCGATGGAGAGAGAGAGAGAGAGAAAGTGTGTGTGTGTTTGTTGAAGGTAAGGGGTGAAGGGGCCGATCCGCTGTGGATGGAGGCTTAAATCCATTTTTTCTTTCTTTTTCTGTTTGTGTGAGTGTGTTTGCTTATTTCTTTTACTCTTCTGTGATGCTTACATGTTCGGTATTTTCTCTCACCATTTCTCTCTCTTTTTTGTTTTTGTTTTTTCAAAACAAAAACATGAATAAATATTTGGTGCAAATATATATGTATACACAGAGAGAGAGAGAGAGAAGCAGACATGTAGGCACATGTACAGAGACGTTATATTTGTGTGTGTGTAGGAGGGAAGGGAGGGAGGGGGTTTTCCTTTTTTTTTTTTCCTTTTTTTAAATGGAGGGGAGGGGAGGGGAGAAAAGTAAATAAATAATAAAAATAAAAAATAATAAAAAAAAAAAAGGGGGGGGGGGCTTCTCTTGCGTGTTGTCCATGCAGTGGCCGTATTTACCCTCCCTCCCTCCCTCCCTCCCTATCCCCCTCCCCACTTTTTTTTTTTTTTTTTTTTGCTTGCGATTTTCCAAATTGTTACAGAGCCGTGTGTATGCGTATTTGTTGTTGGTTTGCCGTGAATTTCCCTCTCCCTTCTTTTTTGTTTTTTGTTTTTTGTTTTTGTTCCACACGCCTATTTTTGTAAAATTAATTATGCGTATTTATTGGTATTTTTATATAAATTTTATGTGGGACCTTTTTTTTTTTTTCTTTTTTCTCTCTTTCTGTCTGTCTGTTTGTTTGTGTTTGTTTTTTTTTTTTTTTTTTTTTGCATTTTTGCTTCTTTTCTTTTCTTTTAATTATAAAAAAAAATAATAATTTATTTTTATTTTTGCTTTTAACGCATGTATGGCATTTTGTTGTTGTTGTTGTTGTTTGACCCGCTTTTCCCACAGACACACACACACACGGAGAGAGAGAGAGAGAGAGAGAAGCAGACATGTAGGCACATGCACCCTTTTTTTTTTTTCCAATCGGCTGCCTGCCTGCCTGCCTGCCTGCATGTACGTGTGAGTGAGTGAGTGGCGTGTGGTGAAGAGAAATGTTTTGTTTTATTTTGTTTTTGTTTTTGTTATTTTTGAGTCCCTCTACTCATCCATCCATTCATGCATCCACGCATCTATCTATCTACCTACCTATCTACTCTTTCTATTTTTGTTTTTGCTTTTTTTTTTTTTTTCTTTTGGTTTTGTTTGCTTTCAAAATGAGCAGCACGGATGGTGGCGGTAGAGAACTTCTTCTTTTTTCTTCCTTTTGTTGTTGTTATCAACGTAAACATCTCATCACCCCCTGTCTTTTTGTTTGTTTGTTTGTGAGTGTGTGTTTTGTGTGTGTTTTGTGTGTTTTTTGCTTTTTTAAACGAGATTTCATTGCTTACACTTTTGTGTCTGGATCCCCCTCCCCTCATGCATGCACACACACAGAGAGAGAGGGAGGGAGGGAGGGAGGAATAGAGAAGAGGAGGCGGTGGTGGTGGTGGAAAGTGGGGAGGGGAAATGTTTTGGTACTTTATTTTTACTGCGTTCTCATTCCATTTGTAATGATACTTTTTTTTGCGCGCCAGGCTGAAGACATGCACGGACGTCAAAACAGTTTTGTTGTTGTTGTTTGTGTTTGTGTTTTTTTCTCTGCTTTACGGCCGCCGCGTTGGACGCACGACGAGAGAGAGTGCGCACGATGCGTCTACTCGTGTACAGGACCGTCGATGGCATGCAGACGTGTGTGCGGTCAAGGAGCCCTTTTCTTTTTTCCCCCACCCACACACCCCTCTTCTCCCCTCGCCTTTTCTTCGTTTTATGCCGCCTTTGTCTTTGTGAGGTCTTTTCTCTCTCTCTCTCTCTCGCTCTCTCATTGTGCATGCATGCATGAGGGGAGAACCCACCCACCGAATGAAGGGGAAGGGGGAGAGAGAGAGAGAGAGGGAAACGAGGAAGAAAAAAAAAAAAAAGAAGAACGATGACGATGACGATGCGGCAGCGCTCACTGCTCCACACGATCATTGCCGCCCACCCACCCACCCACCCACGCAGCAGCAGCAGGAGGAGAGGGAAGGAGGAGGAAAAGAGGGCAATAAATAGTGCGGTGGAGAGGAGCGTGGCCCAAACGAGAGAGAGAGAGGGAAGTGTCGATGGTGGCGTGTATGGCCACTGTGAAGAGAAGGACAGAGAGAGAGAGAGGAGGGGAGAGGGACGCTCTCGAGAAGGATGCGTGCGCATATAATCATCTACAAATTTTTCTTTTTTTTTTTTTTTTTTTTCTTTGGTTTTTTGTTGTTGTTGTTTTTCGGTGCGAAATGAGACAACAAGCCACCCACTGCGCCGCCCAAAAAAAAAAAAAAAAAAAAACCCTGTTTTTGCCGCGTATCGAGCAGGGGAAGCGTCTGAAAAAAGTGCCAGGGATGGATTGCTGGCGCATGCACGCGTGCGTATTACTGCTGGTCACCTGTTTCTCCCCCACCCCCAACACACACACACACACACAGGCAGCGCGAGGAAAAGAGAGAGGACATGGCAGTGTTGTTGTGGCGCATTTCTTTTCCTTTTTTTTTTTTTTAAGGGGGACAAAGGACACACAACGCAGCAAACATGCAATGAGGGTAAAGAAAAAAAGAAGCCGAAGAGAAGTCGGCAAACATTCCACCCATCACGCGGCTGCCGCGGCACACTTCGACACGACTTTGCAGTCTCAGTGTCTTCATTTTCAAAGTGCCTTGCAGAAAGAACAGCGCCGGGGCTTTTGACATGTCCCGCTAGAAAATTTTAAAAATAAAAATAAAAACAGGACTATCAGAAAAATAAATAAATTTGGCGGTGCCGGCCAACCCATCGCGTTGCCAGGGCCAATTGCCCCGTATTGTCGGGAGAAGAAAACACCCAGCCATGTTTCCCTCACGGGGTCGTCGTTGTTGGCGCGGGGGCTGACGGCATCGATCGGCACCCTGAGCAGCCGCGCCGTGACGGGGCACAGTCGTAGCACCACGGGGTCTGGAGACACGTCTTGCTGCAATGCAAGCCGTCGAATTTATTTAAGGAAACACGAGAGAAAAACAGACAACACGCATCCGGAGTTCTTCTCGTCGGCTACAATGACAGCGCCGCAGTGCCGTACTGGATCATCAAGAACTCGTGGACCACGCAGTGGGGTGAGGAAGGCTACATCCGCATTGCAAAGGGCTCGAACCAGTGCCTTGTCAAGGAGGAGGCGAGCTCCGCGGTGGTCGGTGGTCCCGGACCCACTCCCGAGCCAACCACCACGACAACCACAAGTGCCCCAGGGCCGTCCCCATCCTACTTTGTGCAGATGTCCTGCACTGACGCTGCGTGCATTGTCGGGTGCGAGAACGTGACGTTACCGACCGGTCAGTGTCTCCTGACCACCAGCGGCGTCTCTGCCATTGTCACGTGCGGTGCTGAGACTCTCACAGAAGAAGTCTTCCTTACGAGTACGCACTGCAGCGGCCCATCGGTGAGGTCCTCTGTTCCTCTCAACAAATGCAACCGGCTTTTAAGAGGCTCCGTTGAGTTCTTCTGCGGCTCCAGCTCCAGTGGCCGACTGGCCGACGTGGACAGGCAGCGTCGCTATCAGCCATACCACAGCCGTCATCGCCGCCTCTGAGGGCACTCTTTGTTTCTGATGCTGCCTTTTTTCTCATTTTACTTTCTTATTATTATTGAGCAAGCGTTGGTGCTGCGGCACACTGGGCAAATAAGTCCCAATGGGGTGGATCGTTTATTGATTTTCTCTGTGCATGCTTTTTTTCTATTATATGCTTCTGTTGAGCGCCCGAGCATTCCCCACTGTGGCTGAGCCCACCGCCGTCCCCGACTGTCACCCGACCATGCGGGGCGGAGTGGCGTGGCAACGCTCCTTTGCCGCGGCGTGCACATACACGCGCGCATGCTTCTTCTCTCCACGTCAACGCCCGCGCACCACCACAGTCTGAAGGTGACGCTGTTGAAGGCACACAAGGAAGGAAACACACCCACACAAACAGTAATGTCTGGCTGGGCGCGTGCGCTGTTGCTCGCGGCCGTCCTGGTCGTCATGGCGTGCCTCGTCCCCGCGGCGACGGCGAGCCTGCATGCGGAGGAGACGCTGGCGTCGCAATTCGCAGAATTCAAGCAGAAGCACGGCAGGGTGTACGAGAGCGCCGCGGAGGAGGCGTTCCGCCTGAGCGTGTTCCGGGCGAACCTGTTTCTTGCGAGGCTGCACGCCGCGGCAAACCCACACGCGACCTTCGGCGTCACGCCCTTCTCGGACCTCACGCGCGAGGAATTCCGGTCCCGCTACCGGAACGGGGCGGCGCACTTTGCGGCGGCGCAGGAGCGCGCGAGAGTGCCGGTGGACGTGGAGGTTGTTGGCGCGCCCGCGGCAAAGGATTGGCGCAAGGAAGGCGCCGTGACAGCCGTCAAGAACCAGGGACTGTGCGGCTCGTGCTGGGCCTTCGCCGCCATTGGCAACGTTGAGAGCCAGTGGTTTCTCGCCGGTAACCCGCTGACGAGACTGTCGGAGCAGATGCTCGTGTCGTGCGACGACACTAACTTTGGCTGCGGTGGTGGCTCGTCGTTGAAGGCCTTCAAGTGGATCGTGGATCGGAATAACGGCGCCGTGTACACGGAGGAAAGCTACCCCTATCATTCGTGCATTGGGATAAAGCTGCCGTGCAAGGACTCGGACCGCACGGTGGGTGCCACAGTTCAGGATACCGTTTCTTCACCGCAGGACGAGGCCCAAATAGTCGCATGGCTTGCAGTCAACGGCCCCCACTTCGCTGTTATCGACATTATTGGTTGGATGTTCTACACGCGCGGCGTCTTTACGGTTTATTTTCGTATGTGTGTTTTCTCTTTATGGACCTTCAAATAAATCCGATGGCCTGCGCGCCTGCTTCCCTCAGGAGCGCGTCCACCCTGCCGAGCGGAGACGTGGAAGAGAATCCTTGTCCCTGTCTGCGGGGGTTGCGGCGGAACCCTCTGCCTCACACTGGCGAAGCGCCTGGCGCCGAGCATGAAGTGATATGACGAAACCGTGTTTTTTGCGTTGGGTGTGAAGAAGAACTCCCCCACCCTGAATCCACCGGTTTCAGCCCGCCAGGGTTCCAGCACCACGGGACCGCTCGCACCTGTCTTGGCGGCGGCGTGTCCGTTTTTTTCCGGCGTTGGGCCTGCGCGAGCGACCGGCCACCCAGAGGCAGGAGTGAAACTGACGGTGTCGTCGGTACGTCTCCCTCCCTCCTCTGCCAATGGCTTGGGGGCCGAGGATTTGGATGGGCAGCTCTGCGCGGGCGGGCCGCAACTAATAGGGCGCACGCGTCCGCGCGCACAGAGGGGCTTGGGATCGCAGCGTCCCATCAGACTCCCGTGGCGATACCGTTGCGCAGCGGCGCGTCGAGAATGTATCCCAGTTTGTCGACGCCGGGGAGCGCACGAGGTACACCGAGCGACAGGGCAGCACAGCACCCGGCATCGCCCCGTCTAAAGGCTGTGTCGTCATCCACTGGACAGCGCAGCCCTCGCCGGACAGTGGCCGCCGCATCGCCCTCCTTCATGTCCAGCTCGGGGACGACAAAACACCCGCAGCGGTACCGAAGCTTAACCGGACACTACCAGCACGGAGGAAGGCGAATTGGAATAAGCGCGGCGGAATGTCCAAACAGCTCTGCAGAATCCCGCAAGAATTAGGCAAAATGGGTAGCATAGAGAAGCACATTGCGTCAGGAATGCGGAAAGCCACCGACACAACGGTCCCCGCAGGGAGTCGCCAGCCGCCCCCGCGCAGAAAACAGCCAGCTACCCAGGCTCCGACGCAGGGAAGCGCTGCGCGAAGCACCCAAAAGCTGCTGGCGCGCGCTCCGCTCCAAACCCGAGGCCACGGGCGACAACAGCCTGCAAGCGGCGTGCCGTGTGTATGCGCCTCGCCCCGAGCACGCCAGCCACGAAAGCGGACGGCACCGTGCTCAGCACACACCGGAACGCCAGCCACACAAAGCCGTGGGCGGCGGGAGCAGCACGGCACCCAAAGCACTGCTTTCCGCCACCGACCCCGACGAATGCGAGGAACCCCGCCCCCCACAACCATGGCAGAGCCCAAACGCACCCCACGGCTGTTGCCTCTTGGGACCGGCACCCGGCTCCGACGGAATACGTGGAAAGGAGCCGCGCCATCTAGGCCGTGCGGCGCGGCGTGCCGTCTTCCGGCTGCTCAATAGACGCCTGTGTACAGAAGCCGTCCGGCGGGATTGGCGACGCGTGGTTGTCGCCATCCCCTTCCTCAAGCCAAAGAAAACGGCATCCGACCGCGACCCCACCGGCCCGTCACGCTGACCAGTTGGCCCTGCTGCGATCTTGTTGTTGGCCCGACAATTCCACCCTTGACCGATTGCTGCGCCTCAGGGACGCCATGCGCCGCGATGCCCCGCAACACCGCACGGCGGCTGTCTTTTTGGTCGTCGCCAAAGCCCTCGACGCGGCAGACCGTGACAAAGTCATCTTGGAAACGCGGCGGCTGTTGATCTCCAAGCACATCGCGCGCTGGCCAGCAGCATTTCTCAGCATCGCAAGCTTTGTGGTGCGCGTCGAAAAACCTTCATTCTCCCCCAAGACCCCCGCACGGGGAGCGCCGCAAGAAACGGCGGCAGGTCCCATCACGCCATCATCGTCATGAACTCCCTTAGCGTTCGACTTTTGAACGCGCCCCTATCACACGGCACGGCGACAGGGACATGATCAGCTCGGACTCAAAAGAAGGCCGGAACGCCGCGGCAGAGTGGAACAGAGAACGCCTCATGAAGCCGAGCGCCGGCACAATGGCCCCACCGCGCCTCACCCGCGAGGGGGCCCAGCCACCATGGAGCGCGTGCCGACCCTCCTGGGCGTCAATTTCCGGAATTCCGTGGAATGGGCGCGCGTGGCGGAACTCCCCGAGGAAGCAAACCAGCGCCCACCACGAATGGCACCGATTCCGCCCGTCGCGTGGGGAACTAAGAAGACATCCTGCGGGCGTTCTGCCTTGCACGGGCGCGGGCGAA